TGAACCTAAATTCCCAATTCTCCTGCCTCCAGCTCCCAAGTGCTATGCACACAGATACATGCCACCCCATTCAATTTCTCGCCCAGACTTTTGTTTCTAACACTGTATTTGATGAATAATCTTGCCTCCATATTCATGACCTTTTAGACATGAGCTCTTATTTGGAAATAGGGTCTATACAGAACTATTAAATTCCCTCCTTTAGATCCTTCTAGAAGATGAGAGTACAGAGAAAGAACCAGGCTATGAACCAGCAACCACAGCAGCCACCACAGACAGGAGTGGGGTGAGTAGCGAGCACTCACCTAGTCTTCAGCGGGAGGACTTCAAGTCATTTTAACTTTTTTCTCTTCTAGAACTCTGGTCTGAAACCGCCCACCATCCAGAGTGCTATCCATGCTAGCAATGCCTTGGGCTCCTCCTCTGTCTCCCTAAAGCTATGGCTCACGTTGACCCCAGACACAGAAACCCTCTCCACTTTCCTCATTGGTTCACAGGAATTAGCTAGGTGTCGTCCGGCTTAGAAAGCCTGAACTGTTCTCCCAGGGGCAACTGGAAACACCTTCTCTGTGCTCAGGCGCTCTACAGAAGCACAGAGCACATTGTATTAATCCATGAATTGCAAATAGAAACTCCCTACTCTTCTGGGATGAGGGAGTGTCTAGAGCTTTCCTGCACTCAGGGACACCTGCAAGCTGTCTCAGGAAGTAGCATGGGTAAGCTAGAGAACACACGCAGGAGAAGGAGCTTTTTTGATTTTGTTTTCTCTTTTCCCAGACACGGCTCTCATTTACCAGCAGTCTGACTAGAGTCAAGTCATTTCGTCTCTATAATGTGGCTACTGCCTGTCTCTCCCTTACACAGAGGTCGAGGGTGAACACTGCTAAAGTGTGTCACCTGCTTAGAACACACATGAGGAGAACGTGGCAAGTGCCAGCTGCTATTGCACTTGTACCCCAGCAGCAGGTAGCATTGTTCTGGGTCAGGGCTCAACATTCATGCCAAAGGATAGAGGAAGCTTTGAGACGTTTGGGGGACAGGAGTGGGGGAAGTAGGGTAGCAAGCTCAGTTGTGACTTGCCATGGCATATATATCATGACACATATATTTATTTTCACCTCAATAATAACAAAAGTCAATTTGAGCAATAATAAGAAAAGTCAATTTGAGACTGACACACCACCCTCAATTCCCACCTTGATTCCAAGATGGGATCTGGAGGTCCTCAAGCCACGGCGAACATTGCAGACGTCAAAGAAAGCGCCCCCATGCATCCTCACCGCACTAAGCAAATGCAAGCTTCACCCTTTACAGAGAATTATATAACTATATAAAAATATGTTGTTTACTTGATAGTGATTGGCAGCTTTGATTGGCAGTTACTTATGCCTTCCGAGAATCAAAAGCAGCAAACTCTAAATCCCAGTTTTCCTTAAAGAGCTGTTCCCTAAACAGATGTTTGCAGAGCCTGTGATCCACGGGGAGAAGATAATGAAAAGGCCAATGGTGCAAGGCAGAGTCACTGTGGGTTAGTGCATCTCTCAAGCCCATTTGACGCCAGCATGTTGGAAATTACTGAAAATGTCTTTAAGACAATCAGCTATAAAAATTTATTTCATACTTGATTTTACTCTTTGGCCTCAGAGGGAAATGCCCTGCTCTATAATTTCAGGCAAGGAGGGTGGGGGCATTGGGGGTAGAAGCGCCAGCTGCGGAGTCTTAAGATCTTAAGAATAGGTATATGGAGGGGGTTTTAGGAAGCCAGAAATGCTCAAACAGGAGACAGAACTGGATGGACGGTTTTAAAGCCTAGGCTGTTCTCTCCCATTCTATATGTGTAAGTGTCATAGATCCTCTTAGGGCTGCGAGCAGGGTCAGAGAGGCACGCACATGGAGTCTGGGGAAATCCAAGAACACGTTTTCTGTTTTCAGAAACCACCCTCTTTTCTAGAATTAAGTGGGGAAGGGAGGGATGTGGAAGTGCTTCTCTGGTTACAGATGTATTACTGCACCCGGAATCGGGGAGGGGAGAAGGAACAGGGAAGTCAGAAGACCTGTGGATCCCTCAGGGATCCGGGATGCTGGCAGAGAGCTGCCAGTAGTCAACTGTGAGAACAAAGTGTTGAGCAAATATGAGTGACATTCTGTACGAAGCTGGGAGTCTGAGGCTGCTGTTAACCTGTTTCAGCACCGTGGAAATGAGCAGAGACCCTCTAAATGCAAGAGTTAGTTGATATGTAAGTGCTTGATACACCACTGTGCCAACCACCATCAGGCACGTTTAAGGGAGACTCAAAGGCAGGAAGAGAAGGAAGCTTTCTCATAGAAAACAGGGAAGCCTTCAGACATGCATGCCCTGATTCTAGGTGGCTGTGGGGGAAAATAGGGGAAGGCCAGCCAGAGGCAAAGCACCCCACGCCGCTGTTAGGGGTGCTTGCCTGCCATTCTCTGCTTGGTCCTAAACTGGCAGCAAGGAATGAAGATCAGGAATGCTGTCACTGACCAAGAATGGTCCATCTGGGTGCCTCTGTTATAGAGCTAATGTGTGGCTTCTTGGACCGTTGTCAGAAGGAGTAATCCACCACCACCAAAGTATGACGTACAGCAGATTGTTCTCCTTGGCTGGATTATATACTACCGGTTCAGAGTCAGCCTTCTCCTTTCCTATATGGGTTGGTCATTGAATGTTGTGTATTCAGTCCCTAGCTTTCTTAGTGTGAGTCTCCACAAGGCAAAGTTACTCCAAACACAGCACAAACTCTCAGAGCCCCAAACAAAAGCTGAGACGGTTTCAGAACTATGCCGAGCACATCAGAATGTTTAGTGGAAATAGCATGTTTACCTGTGAAATGTACACACGGGGTAACAAAAGCATCAACTGTGTCTTCACCTAAAGCAGGACTAGCTAGTTGCTTTTCTGTTTATGATTGACTTTTGTGGTATGATTAATAAATAAGTTATGGAAAATGGTTTGATAAATAAATCATTGGTAGATAAAAATTTCCCAAAACCCAGGGTACATGAGAGGGAAAGTTTTCTAAGGGGTATTAAGTAAAGAAGCCTTGAAAATTTTCCTTGTTCTTAAACCCAAATATCTCCCCTTTTATAAGCTGTCTCCAAGGTTATTGGCCAGGGCAGAGCCCAAGTGAAGCAAATCATGGATCTACTCAGAGAGGCGAAGGCTGCGTCCTCCGGTCTATAAATACAAAGCCAGTCTGAGGCCCATTCCTTTTCAGTTCCTAACCCTTAAGCGTCCAAGAAGCTCATAAATAAGTGCAACATTTATGATTATATATGTAAGTAATAAATAAATATATTTTCAACTAGCTAGTTATCCAGTAGGCCCAAGTTCATGATCTCCTGATTGTGAGAGTCAAGCACTCATGACTCCCAAGAAAGGATCCAGGTACCACCGCCGGGTTATTCTGAGAAATAAAAACCATTCTGCACTACCTGCTCATCAGCAGTAGGCATGATTTCAGTGTAGGAACAGAATTTTAAGGTTCCACAAAAGCTGAGCAAGGCTCACTTATCCAAAACTTATCCAAAAGTGAGTGGTTTTGACAGGCCTGCAGCTAAGACACTGGCATCGCCTCCCTCCCTCCCGCACCCTTCCTCCATCTGATAAACTCCACTCACATCCCAGACCCAGCAAGTGCCAGGCCTTCAGCAGCAAGCTTTCTCTAACTGGGACCTTTCTGCAGGACTCCCCTACATTTTGTCTCTTGGGTTCTTTTCAAACGCTGTTAGTAGACACATTCTGTTATCAAAGCTAAAGCTTATGCACCAGTACGGCCTCACTTCTCTCCCACTCTCTTGCCAGCACGACTGCCCCGTCTACTTGTTCCTTCATTGGACCACGCTGCACACTGTACATCATGTTTACCGATTCCTGTAACAGTCACAGGTTCCACAAAGTGACACAAGATCCATGACTTGTGTCAGATGCCAAGTGAAGAGCAGACTGAGTGAGTCCTGAACCTCAGCAGTTTGTAAACTTTCTGAGCCATTTTTTTTCTCTCAAACAAGTTTTAAACACTGCCCTGCCTGGCGGTGACAACTCTGGTGTCCAGGTCAGTCTACCTGCAAACCCATCATGCCACAGTGCTAAGTGGCATCCGTGACACTGGTGTGAAGGAACCGCCCAAGGACGTTCCACACAGGCACACAGTTTCTTGAATCTTTATTTTCTTCCCAGAAAACCTTCCATGTCTATGTCATACAATATTTCTTCTAGGATTATATATTTTAAAAAGGATCAAATCCTATATACAGACGGCACTCAGGACCAATTCTATACCACAGCCTCTCAGAACCCAGTGTTTAAAGTGTTCAGGGTTCAGGGTTAGCATACAGGACCTCTGTAGCTAGAGGATGAGGTCGTTCCATATAGCAGATAGCAGACTTTGCCAAGAGAGAAAGCCTGGCTGGAAGGAACCCATGCTCTGACATTATACCTCAAATAACTCCACAATGTTCAATATCTTCCTAAGTAAATTCTCCCTAGGGGAGAGGGAGCCACTGATCAAAAAAGACTATTCTGCAAAGAGTCTGTCTCTCCGCAGAAGGTATGCACAGTCTTCATTATAAATTAATAGGCCAACATTCCATTCTACCCAGCAGAAAAATCAAATATGTAAAGAACAAAACATTTGGTATTTCTGGTAATTTTGCCCTTTAGGTCTCGTCTTCCCACACTTTGTCTTTGGGGGCCCTGTCTCCCTGTCACCCCTGCTGGCTCTGTCCCAGAACCTCTGCACCTTCTTTCTCTGAAGGGCTCCAGAAAAACATCACCAAAAGCCTACAGGTATTAGCAAGTTCTGGTAGTAAAGAAAAAGCAAGCCAACACACAGAAATCACTCCCCTCTGTAACAGGGCCTGTAAGTGAATATTATCTCTACTCTTTTAGCCTTGGCACTCAACTTAACACACCTACAATTATTACACCTGCAAAATTCGTAGCAAATCACCAATGACATCATGTGGTCCCACATACTCACATTTTCTGCCCGGAGCCTCTTGGCAGGGCACCCCCCATCCCTGGGGTGAAGCATGTAATAAAGCCGGACTTTGCTTGCATGTTTTCGACTCTGGGGAAGGAAAACAAAAGGAGATATTATTGAAAGAGTAGCCTCTTGTGAGGAGAAATTAAAAACGCAGACAGCGACCACAACGGCAAGATCTTCTCAGTAGAAAATTGCTCCTTGTGTTCCTGCAGGTTCCATGGGATTTTGCTTGAGGTAGACTGAATTAATCTAAGTTCCCAAGCCAATATCATTTCAGGGTAAATAAAAATAGCAACCAGGAGTTACGAGTCAGTTCACTTTATGCCATGTATTTGTCGTCAAAAGACAGGCAAGCAGGGGAAATTATGCACAGGTCAACTGTGATGAAGCCAGCACTCGAATGTTCACTTCCACGTCTCCCCTGAGCTCAGATCTGGGGCGTGGAGCCCCCACAGGTGTGGGGCACTTGCAGCAAGCTTGGCAACTACTCCGAGCTCAAGCGCCCTACAGGCAATACAAGCAAATAACTTCAGTAAATGGGGAAGGTCTGTGGACCATTGACTGGCCCAAGGCCAGCAAGGAGAAATGTGTCCCATCTTGGTTCTATTTCTTCCCGTCCTGTAATCAAATGACCTAGGCCTGACCACCTAGGAAAAAGTGTAGTAAGAAAGCATTCCAGAAGTTGGGAGTCCCAGTCCCAGCTCTACCCCCTGCTCACTGCATGACGTCAGACCTGCCATCGATGGGAGTGTACCCTTAGGCTAAATGAGTCTGATTTTTTTTCCACATGCAAAATGAACACAATGCTGTTACGGCTGTTGTGAGAACCGAATGAGATGATTTCACATGAAGCTCTCTGATTTCCACAACTCTGATTTTCTGCCATGGACTGCACCGGTTCCTAACCTCCTGTATAGTCTCATCCCCATCCCCTTTCCCATCCCTTTACTTGGAGATTACGTCCTTCTGGAGGCCTCTTTCTGCTCTGCTCAGTCTTCATTCAAAGCAGAGCGCTAGCCGGCCTCCCGGATGATGGTTTACTCTTATGGATTAGCCACAAAGGCAAAGTGCTTTTGCGGTGAGCTGCATTTTGTTTGCCAGGAGCTCTATAAATCCTTTTGCCCCGCCATCCTCATTCATCACCTTTTAATTCCATTATTCTGCCCAGAACAAGAGAACGACACTTCCCAACAGTCCCCGGACACTTTTTGAGGCCTTCAAGTGGGTTTTAAACACAGTAACAGAGCATGGGAAATCTTACAAACGCATACATACCACAGCGTGGCTAGAAACACGCTGGGGTCATCTCTAGGTTCCAGAGCGAGCGCTAATTAAGGTTGGCTGGAGTGTTTTCTTGACCGGAAATGATAGGATGGAGAACTAGAGACCTGTGAGGATATGTCAGGACCCAACAACATTGCTCAGCTTCTACAATATGCCTGAGAATGATATGGTGCAAACTAGTAGTGTGTATGTGCGTGTGTGTGTGTGTGTGTGTGTGTGTGTGTGTGTGTGTGTAATGTTGATGACCAAAACCTACATACATTTTTTTTTACCATGGGGTGGGGAGATAAGACATAGTGGTATTCAAAATGCAGCCACAGGCAGGAGAACAAAAAAGGACCACTCAAAGGTCTTCAGGACACAGAGCCTGGGTGGTTGGCAAAGCAGATGCACATGGGAACTAGTAAACAGAGCGGTACCTGTTCATATCCACACAGGCCAAGACAGATTCCAGCTCAGCAGTTCCTGTATTGCCAACACATCCAGAGGACGAGGTGAAGACATGACTGGACCTCACACAGGGTGGCCCTGCCTCGTAGCCTCTTTGCCTCCTTTCCTGGTGTCAGTTGCTTCTCTTGAAAAGACTCTCCATCAAAGTTAAAGTTCACCGAGTTATTGAATGGTGGTTTGACAAACTAGTGAGACCCCACTAGCTGAGACGAAAAAGGCAAACAGATAACAGGCCTTTCTCTGAATACGTCAGTGAGGAGAGAGGCTGGGTTTGAGGCTTTTCAGCCATCTGGATGACCGCACACCTGATACTCTCCTGCAGCTTCCGAGGTCTGATCTGCACAGAGCAGGCATGGTTTTGCCTGAGACTATGGCTAAAGACTTGGGAACCACTACAGACTCCAGGGTAGAAATGAAGATATCTTGGTTCCTCTGACATGAATTCCCACACCCGCTATGTGGGCTTCTTGGTTCCACCCCCATCACTTTCTCTAACTGCCAAAGGAGAAATCCTACATTTCTACCCACAGCTGACCCTGAAAGAAGGTGACAGAAGGAGTTCATTTCCAAAGAGGATACTGAATTTTGGATTGACCATGGGAAAGGCTTCCCGAAGTTTCTGAGATTTTAGTATGCTATAACAGCATCCCCATGAGTCCTGGCTCTCACCCCAGCCTCATCAGGACACTCTGAACCACTTAACTGTGTGCCTCCAACTGACTTCTCTAACCCATACCCTCCAGAAATTCCTGGAAATTTAGGACCAAAATACCCCTTCATTTATTCTAAAAACTTCCCACTTAAAGTTAAAATTAAATCGCAGCAAAGATGTTCACTTTAGCATTGCCTGCTTTGAACACCAACATGGGGGAGAGCAGCTGGGTCAACAGCAGAAGTCTGGTTAGAGCAGAAGCGGATGGCCTTATGCAAACGGGAGACAAGGGAAACAACATTTGCCATATGAGGAATGGGGAATAAGAACACCAAACACCAAGCTAAATTATGCAACAGTCATTAAGTGTATCAGGAAGAAATGAACAAGAAAAAGATCTGTTAGGTTAAATAGAGTACACGTTTTTTCTTGTTTGTTTTGTTTTGTTTTGTTTTTTGACTTACCTCTTAAACAAAATAGGTAGCAACAGTGTATCAATACTCCATGGAAAACCTGTATTAAGTTTACTTTTTATCCGCATGGTTACATCTAATACAAGTCATCACTTTCGGGGTGTAGACTGATATAATTGGCCCTTATCAATGCTCCAAATGCATGTTTCTTCACTGGGACACTTGATATTATACATGAGCCTTCTGAACCCAAAAGCAAAATCACTCACTTCACACTTCAAACTTTATTCTGGCACACATGACACCTAAGCGAGCGTGTGTGCTGTGGACCATGGTGAATTTTCAGCTTGTTTGTACTGACAGGCACTGAGGAGGGTGGTCATTGTGTCCACGTCACCAGAGCTGTGCCCTTGAGAACAATGACAACACATTCTTGCTATTGTCAAGATTTGTCACTACTGACAACGTGCGCTGTCTTTTAAACGCATAAAAGGACAGAGTCGGTGTTGGTTGAAGGGTCACTGGTCTGGATGAAGGCCTCGGGTTTCTGCTGCACTACGGATACAGGGCCCTCGCTGGGACCCCTCTTGGATATCCTGTTACTGCCTTGTGTCATGGAGAGCCTGCAGCTTTGGGTCTGCAGGTCTGGTCTCTTCGCATACTCCAGCAGTTCATAGATGAGGTGGATGTTTGAGTGGGCTGACTTATAGCCCCGATTCTGAGCCTGGCTGGTAGCTGGGCTGATCAGCCCGCCTGCGTTTCCCTCCTTGTCAGCACCCAGGCGAATTCCCCAGCACTGCCCCAGCAAGGTCACCCAACATAGACTCACTGCAATGAACCCTTACACGTAAAGATGCATGGACTAAAGGGTTCATACACTGTGTGACTCACTGGGCCACACCACAACTTCCACCCTGAGATTGTGGTTGCTTATTTTGTTGCTTGTTTTTTGTTTTTTTTTTCTGTTTTTTCCCTTTGTTTTTTGAATTTACTTTTAAATTTTGTTTTTCAGGGCAGGTTGCAAGGGCAGAGGGAGGAAGCAAGGGGACAGTGAGAAGAATGGGATCTAGGATGAGGATGCATGATGTAAAATCCACAAAGATCAATAAAAAGTTTAAAAAAAAGAGGACTGAGTAGTTACCAAGTGACAGCAACTTCTAGGACAAAAAAAGGAAAGAAAAGAAAGGAAAGGAAAGGAAAGGAAAGGAAAGGAAAGGAAAGGAAAAGAAAAGAAAAGAAAAGAAAAGAAAAGAAAAGAAAAGAAAAGACTGGGGTTTAGATGAAGCTAGTGGAGTTTTGGGAGAGAGAAAGGACAATTACTTGAAGGAAGAAAAGGTGAGCAGGAACTAACAGGCTTTTCCTGTGGTAAGAGTCAGTCTGGGTCTCTCTGGCCTTTGCACTTGCATTTTAAGCAAAAGCCCTTTCTTTCTTCCTGGAAACCACAGGCTTCCCAGACGGCCTGGGGAAATCCCAGTCTCAGTCTCCTGCTTTACCCAAAGCCCTGCTTTGGGCATTGCACTGGGTCAGATCTATCCGAAGAGAGGTTTCTTCTGATGAAACAATCTCTTGACACTCTGAGAAACCACACAAAGCAGAAGTACTTTGGGGAGAATGGAGGAGTATTGCAAACCTCTGTTTCAGATTGCTGAGCAGAAGGGAGGGAGCGCATGGGAACCAGAATTGATATGCACTTCACCAAAATAGCCATTTCCCACGATGGCACAGTCCTTTTTTAAAACGTCTAACTTGAGTTTGTTTCCAGTGAGGGCGTTGGCTTCTCCTCACCCAGACGTCGCGACAACGAAGCAAGTTTGCATTCACGTAACTCCTCAAGCCGCCTTCATGGAATTTCCACAGTCGGCTCCTCAGTTCATCCTTGCTTCTCAGCTGGGAGGCTGGCAGGAGAGGTGCGATCTTAATCATCGTGGTTCGCTCTTGATTTCCTAGATATGAGTCTTCCCATCTTCCTTCATCATTGCCATCTAACTATACCTCCTCCAGACAGCAGCTAAAGAAAGCCAAGAGCAGCGAGGGAAGGAGAGCGCCCAGCACGAACTGATAATTATAGAGCTGTGATTTCCACGGGCCACCATGGTTGAGGTATTTCAAGACAGCAAACACCAGGAGTATAACTCACTGGGGTTTAGAAAACTATCCAATGGGAAACAGGAATTCCCTCTCAAAGCAGGAAGGAAAGCTGCCCTGATAGAATCCCACTGAGGGTTCATGACCGAGGACTCTGGACATGCGCACTAGCTAGGCTGTCACACCCCCAACACTAGGAC